TCTCATCTCTCTCTAATCCGGTGGTAACCCGACCACCGTCAAGTGGCCACTCCTCCGCGTCGACCGACCGCCGGAGACGGCGGCCGAAAAAACCCCAACTCAACCTAAATAGACCCTTTCCACACCGTGACTCCAAAAATAACCCTCAAACTCCCAAAAAACCCCATACTCGACGTAGATCTAACATGCAAGCCTCGGGTTTTCACCTTTTTTAAGGGAACGCTTCGCTTTCCGACGCCTTTCCTCCGATGATGTTCTTTGTTGGTTTTGGTGAGAAAAGGCTTCGCCTTTGGTTTCTTTTTATGCTCTGTTGTTGTTTTTCTTGTTGGTCGTGGGTTCTGTTTATTGTGTTGGTGATGTCCTCGGTCTTACTATTGGTCGATGTTGTTGTGTTGATGGTTTTTTGGGTACTGTGTGGTCTCTCTGTGATGGTGTTCTTGTTGGCTATTTGTGTTTATCGGTGTTATTTGGTTATGGTTTTGGCCTCGGTTTGAGGTTTACTGGATTTGTTTTTGCTCGTTGTTGGTTAGAACTCTCGGTTTACTGTTGATGGTCCCCTCTGATCGTTGAGTCCCCGGGGTATTTATACCCTGCTCGGTGAACCAGTACCCCGGGTTGTTCCGTTTTGTTCGGGGCATTGCTGCTGAAATCCCGGGATGGTTCAGTCCCGGGATCCTCGGCCGACGTCCGACCGTTTCACGTGACCCTTGACCTTGCTACGCGGTGCCTTGACTTTAGGGTTTTCAAACCCTAAACATCATCTGGTTACTAGACCATTTCGTAGGACTTTTGGGTTGTTTCAGGCCCCGTTATCTTGGACCTTATTTTAGACCCTGAACAAAAAAATAAATGGATAAGAAATAATAAATAATAATAATAATAATAAATAACAATAATAAATAAATAATAAATAATTATATTAAAAAAACTATATAATATAATTTTTTAAAACGTTTCTTTTTTAAAAACTTCATATTATATATAAATTTTAAAAAATGTTTTTTAAAAAACTATATAATTTTCAAAAAAAATACTTTTTTAAAAACTATATGATTTTCTTAAAATGTTTTCAAAAATTATATTTTATATAAGTTTTCAAAAATGTTTTTAAAAACTATATATTATATAAATTTCAAAAAATATTTTTAAAAACTATATATTATATAAGTTTTCCAAAAATGATTTTAAAAACTATATATTATATATTTTCCTAAAATATTTTAAAAACTATATATTATATAGTTTTCAAGTGTTTTAAAAACCATATATTATATACATTTTTAAAATGTTTTTAGAAACTATATATTATATACGTATTTTCAAACCGTTTACAAACTATAATATATATATATATATATATATATATATATATATACAATAATAAAAATATGGACGAAAATGAGTGTCTACAATGTCACTATAAAAAGAGAGGGAGGAAATGGGAGGCGTGGGAAAATAATATTACTAGACTCTTAACTTTTCAAAATTTTATTCTTAATTCGAATTAATCAATTAATAAATCAAATATATATATATATATGTTAATATAAAATAAATAAATTCTCTAGGTATTTGTAAAAAGTTGAGTTCTGGGGCCAACCAAAGACAACAGGCAACTGATTGGCTGATCACACATGATCATCCATGTGCGATGCAGCTTCCCCTGTATTCCAATCAGTTCAAACTTCGTTCCAACGCCATTGATGATGATGGATCAGAGATCCATGAGATGTGTCTTCTCCGTTATCATGTGAAAGACAATAAACGACCCCACAATTCTCTAGCTACATATCACAAAATCCGACTAGTCCGAACCCATCGGTTCGAAAGAGAATTGGACTTCACGTTTGAGTGTAATGAAAACGGAAGATCATGAAAAGAATCAACGATGGATGTTGAAAATGAAATGTGTACTGCAGCAATAAAAAAAAGGGGGATCGTTTCCTTGAAGGGCACTATATACAAAAGGTAACTTTTGGGATACGGGCAATTGGCAAAGGCTTAAAGGCTAGAAAATTGATTGGTATGCATTGGGTCCAGAGAAAGAAGGGGTGATGACACCCCTTAAAAGAGAAGGGCAGTGTCCCACAGTGCAATTTGGGTTAAGGTACGATTTTTTTTTGTAAGACTGTGAATGCTGAATTTGGTCAAATGTTAGTTGTGCAAAAATGCATCATTGTGGCTTGACATCGATCATGTGCTTTGAGAACCTTGGTTCCTTTAATCACACTCAATATATATTCTCTCACCATATCACACCCACAAGCAAGTGAAATCTTGAGGTAATCAGCATGTCTCCACATATTTCTTTTTACTGTCACATGGGACAACAAAGTAATATCATATATGTTGGCCTAAAAAAAGATGATTAATTGAATGACGATAAAGATTTACCTCTACTTAGCTAGGCAAGAGTTGGAAAAATTTGACCCTCATTTACCTTTCTTTTCAAGGGGTGCAGCTTGCGGAGATTACTCAACATGCAAAAAGCAACATAACCCAGTACCCTGAATATTTTCAAATTCTATATAACTTAGATTGTATTAGTGGTAGAAAAAGTCAGAAACTTTACCTACTTGAAAAGAATTCAAGGTGTACGGAGATGTCAGCTGGGTGGTCCTGTCCTGTGGGTTGGTTTATTCAACCTAACCCAGCAGAAGCAGTTTTTTTTTTTTTTGGTTGAATGTGATAATGTTGGTTCTTTAGTTTTACTTATGGTTTCAGATTTTCCTTCAAATTCCCAACTGCTCAGCAATTTCCATGCACTTGGTCTTTAAAATCAAACAAAACAGTATGGAAATAGGGGAGGAGTTAGCTTTGGGGGTTTAGGCTTTTTCTTCTTCAAACAAAGGCAAGGCGCACGAACGTGAACCCCACCACTCTGCCCAGGATCCACCCAACCATATTTGGACAGCGAAAAGAAAACCATACATCCCCTCTCAAAATTGACCAATCAACTCACGACGTTTTGTTTCTTTTTCTCTGCTATGGAAATATAGCTAAGATCGAGTTGTCTCCGGCCCTATACGGGTGACAACTGACAAGGCAAAATATATGATATTCCCGAAAATGCACCACACGAGTTAATATCCCATCCTCTTCTTTTATTCATTAATTTTTAATATAAAGAGAATCTATGTTTCCTTGGAAATAAATCTAAATTCAGTATCATATTCTAAGATGCCGCATATTTCTCAGGCCTCATTGAGCGATCGTGAAGAACTGGATACCCCCCCCCCATTAGTTTTTGTGGTTTTCCACTCTGCTTACGTGTTCTACTTCATTGCTCTCCACATACATTTGATTGCAACAATTTTTGTATATAGACAAAGCCGTTGCTGGCACCCAAGTCACCGGCCTGATCCAGTTTACGTCGCTTTTAACTGTTCAAACCCTTGAGGGATTTCGAATCTTATGTCTTAACCCTGGTCACATTCCAAAGTTTCTCTTAAATATTCCACAGAAAACAGAATACAGCAAAATTTTTACGTCTTCTTAAAACAACAAAGTTTTCATGCAAGCTGTAACAGATGCTTTTGAGTTTGAAAATAAGCATGCGATTCAAGCATTTTCACTGTGGAACTTGTAAGTTCGTAAAAACCTAGCAATGGCAAATCATGGTGCATGACATTACGAACTAAAGATTTACCGTTGTTGTCGTGGTTGATAAACTCAACAAATGCTACTCAATTATATTACCATTATTATTTTCACAGTTGACTTTTAAAAGCATAGATTACTCCCAATCTTGAAAAGCATACACTAGGAATTTTTCTACTTCACATTCGACTCGAATTTGAACCATGTGTGACCAATCAACTTAAAGCGATTACCCAATAAACCGATTAGAATTTGGTGGGTCACTCTTTTTATTTTCCTATAAAATCGATTTGATTTGATTTTTAAATGAGTAATGATGTAAATGCATCTTTGTATTTTGTCAAAATTTTCAATATCGTGTCTCTAATGTTTATGGCCTTTAATTTCTACTTCTATCGGTTCTTTTTTAATTTTGATGTTATTTGATTTTTTTCGAGTCCTCCGTTTCTGTGAGTACTTTGATATGTTGAGCATCGAATATCGCGGCCGTCCATTCCGATAATCTTTGCATTAACCACGATGCTGATTTGAATTGGCAATAAGAATAGAATGGACAGATTTCCACGGCCTACTTGGGAGTCAGAGGGCCAACTCTTGGTCCACTACTGTTCTTCATTTATTTATGGTTTAAATACATCTTTGCCCCCTGAACTATAACTTTTTACCGAGTTTCCCCCTAAAGTATTTTTTAGAACGTTTTGCCCCCAACTATAAATCGTTACCCGTTTGACCCAAATTGTTAACACCTTTTAAAAAAATCTTGGACCAATCAGAACACGCCTCGTCGTTATTGTTTCTTCTTCAGAATTTAATTTTTTTTAAAAAAAACATTAAAAAGAAAATAAAATATTTTTAAATAATAAAAAATAGATAAAATAATTGTCTTGAACCGGTTTTCTCCATTATTCCCTTTATTAGCCTTTCAAGCCAAATCCTAGATTATCTCATTATTCATGATAGTTTTCTCTAAAACAATAGGTTTCTTCAACACGAGAATTTCTTCTCTTAAATTCTTGCTTTTATCATTAAAAAAATTGTGACTCTTTTTCTTTAATTTTACATGGAAACATGTCTATTGGAAGTTCAAAATCAATATCGGGGAAATGTTGTTCAATGTTACTGTGGATTGGCGCTTCAGCTCTCATTGGAGCAAAGGGGAAGAAATTTTATGGTTGTGCCACATGGAAGGAAGTATTCTTTCTAGGGATGAGCGTTCGATTGAGTTGAGTCGAGTCGAGTTGAGCCAAAAAATTTGTGTTATTCGAAATCAGTATTTGTTATTCCTGTTGTAAGCGGTTTGTGTTAGTTATTCACCCTGCTGTACATGAACAGGTTTGTTTGTAGGTGGAAGGAATTACTGTAGCTCAACCTCGTAATATCATTCCCATTCCCACTTCCTAACTAAAGTAAGGAAATCTTTTTACACTGTTCTGTTATATCATTTATATTAAAATCAATAATTAGATTCGGACAAACATAATTGGACTCCAGAAAGGGTTCCTTTAGAATGAATGTATTATTTGATTTATGGCCCTCTTCACCTCCTTTATGCTTACTTTCTTGGCGTTTACATTATCCTTCACCTGCCATTTCAATTACCATTGCCATACAAACTGTCAGTCTAATTCCCACCTAAAGAAATAAGAAACCATTGGCAATGATCATTAATTAAATTGGTGAGGTATTTACCTTGGCTGTCAACTCAGCTACGAGCGCACCATTATTCAAAAAAGACTGAACAGCGGTTATCTCAATCCGAAGCTCTTCCCTTAACAGCTTCATTATATCAAGCAACAAACCTTCCCTATACCCGCATTGCAACTCCAACAATGCATCGCTTTCTATTATAGACACCTCCACCGTCGGCTCCTGCTGCGTTGAATCAACCGTCATCGGCTTAGCTTCACCTCCGCCCCCTTGAACTTTTCTCATCTTCCTTTTATCCCGCCCTGGCCTTGGTTCTGGATCCAATGACCGTGCCCTTTCCGACACTGTTACTCCACTTCTTAGCTCCTTCAAACTACTCGTTCTGTTCAGCGAATCTGCTGATCTCGGCCGTTGGTTGTCGGTTTCTATTCCCTTGCTTTGTTTTTCAAGTTCTTCGACCCTTTTACGTAACTGCTTAACGTACTCAATGGTGTCCCCCAATATGGAAGCTTTATCCATTTTGGTAACGAATAGAACCAAAGACTTTAAGATAATGAAGCGTTCGTTGAGCTTCTCGCGTCGCCTCCTCTCCGCCTGTACATGGTTGGCGCCGAGCTCCTCCTGTGGGAACCCCTTGCTGAACCTGGTGCCACCGTCAGTGTCACGTATCTTGGGAGAGTTCTCGTCTCGGTACTTGCCATGGAGGTACGGAACGCTGAACAGAATGTACTTGAGGAGACACTGTGACGTGCCTTCGACGGCCACTTGGAATTGGTGGTTGTTTGTCCACTTGTAAAACGCTGATTGGATTGAGCTGGTTGGACAACCGGTTGAGGATGAGTCCGTCCAACGGATTGGTTGGCCTTCAAGGACGTTGGACACGGTCCGAGTATAGTGAGTGTTTTCTTGTTGTAGTCTATCCAGTGACCGTGACCCTACAAAATACTCAAATATCAAATAATATATTTATAAAAATATTAAAATATATTTATAAAAATATTAAAATATATTTATAAAAATATTAAAATATATTTTTGATGGAATTCTTCTTTCTTTGTACTCTTTTTTAAAACAAATAAATGAGAGGCAGTCACTGGTTCGTACAGAAAAAAAAACCATGTGCTATATAAATAGTGATTCGGCAGCTTGCAGACAATAAAGGCAGATCCCACCCAAAGCACTGAGAAGAAGACTGATTACAGGCAAGCATCATTTGTTTCTGCTCAAGAAACTGTCTTTATTAGGACACACGTTTCCCCAACATGCCCACATTGTGAATGGCCCCTGCCATTGCATTGACTGGGAAACATAATTTTCAAGCTATTTATTATCCCTGTAGCTAATAATTCGTACTAAATTTTACACCCAGGGAAGATATTTTAAAAGGATTCATGGAGTCTCAAAAGTACATTTTTACCGGAAAAACGTGACTGAAGGCCACTGTTTGTTGACTGTTGAAGCATTTGCCACTCCCGACTCGACTCATCTCTAAACGAGTCCGCTCGCCGCTGCTGGTCGGCTTGCTGGTTACCATTTCGACTTACGGCCAGCATGTGAAAAGCTGTGTCCAAGTTATTTGATGCATCGTCTGGTGACCCTAGGCGGATTTCTTCTGACATTTCAAACTGCATCATCTCGCTTCTCTCAGCTGCTACGGTTTGTATGTTTCTATTTCGATCCGTTTCCGAGTCGTCCGATTCGGGTTTTCCATCGTCTTCATCATCATCATTTTCATCTTCTTCATCATCGTCCTCTAGGTTAGGGTTTAGACCTGCGTGCATAGGAGGAAGGACAGGAGAGTGGAAGCGAGTGTAGGCGACCGAGGTGGAGTGTTTGGAGAGAGCGGGCTTCAGGGGAGGAGGATTCGGGTTATGATCATGATCCGTGAAGAGGGTTTTGACATGTTGAACTAATTCTACATCCTCTTGAACCTGAAATGCAATTGGTTGCATGAGCAAAGTCCCTTCGTTATCATATACTTCCTTTTTGTTTTTTTACTAGTGAAGCAAATAAAAACAGGCAACTTTCATGACCTTTTTAGTGGAGCCGAGTTCAAGAACACCATCAAGGAGAGGAATGCAAAGCACAGTCTACAACAATAATCCAGAAGTAAATTAAATAACAAGAATTTTAATCAGCATAGATTCAAAAGTATAAGTATATATACATATACCTGTATACGAGCACTCTATTTCAACCGTACGGCACCGTTTTTATTTATGTTGACAAACAAGGAAGACTAATTAGTTGAATTAAGAATAGACATGTCTATATTAATTAAAATTATACAATGAAAAAGGCAATGTCAAGATAATACCTTAGCAAGAATTGCTCTTGAAAATGTTTTACTGTCAACCTCATTTGCACCTGCAAGCCATACATGATGCCTCCTTGCATATGCCTTTCCTGGTAACCTACACCATATTTATCAAATCCCATGTGAACAATTCAAACACAATATGATTTTAATATACAGCAATTAAACACAATAATCTAATCAAGACATTCAGTAGTCAAGAGTTTAGAACATGATCATCCTTTGTCATTAATTACTGAATGCTATGTACATGCCACAGTGCTACCTAAATACTTGTTGTTCTAAGTAGCAGCATCTCCGATTGTGGAAAAAAATGCTATGACAGTGAACCAGCAATATCCATTTAACACCCACTCATTAGACCCATTTCAAGCGTCTCGACAGCGGTTTTTGGGAGAAAAATGCATAGTGGGATATACTCCTCGTCAGCCTCTTTAGTTTTCCAATCAAAGTTGTCAAAAGACAAATTGAAACTGCAAAGGCGAGAAAAAAGAATCTCGCTAGCCCCAACAACATGAACCGGACAACGACATTAATGACTCTTACCTAACCTCTTGTCTAGTAAAAATTCATTGGTAAATTCACGGTTAACGGGTGAAGATCACTGTTGCAGTGAACTAGAGCCCCGCGGAGACAAACCCCATTTTCTTACACTGAATGATGAAGCAAGCTGCACCATTAAATTATTCAATAGGAAGGAGAAGAAGAAAAATATTGAATTGTGTGATGAATATGATAAATGTCCTAATATCTTGGAGTGGAAATAAGAAAGCATGACAGAGAGTTTACAACAAAAAAGATGATCCCACTCAACTTTCTTTTCTTCTTCTTTTTCTGCTTTTGCTGGCAGATTCCAGCACTGAGGTTAATGGAGGGCAGAAAAGGATAGTACTGACTGAGCACAAAAGTAAATAGTGGAAGAACGTGAACTCGCCCTACTCCAGGAGGAAAAGAGAATGAGACGCACATCAAATAGAACCACTCGGATTCTGTTAAGTCCTCCGGCGACAACGCTGCGCATGGTCGCCGGATCGGCTGGTTCATCTCTCCGGCCGATAATGAGTCGTATAATTCTCTAAGCTGTTGGCTCCTTTGCAAGGATGCCTCTTCCGAAGTAACCTCCATCGGTTGCACTGTCTTCCGTGTCTTGATTGCTCCATTGTAGTATCCGTCTGACCATACTAAGATCCTAATTAAAACAGACTCGATTCCGTCATTATAACCAAAGGTACTGAATTAGTTGGTATTTCAGAAATAGTAAAGAAGAAGAAGAAGAAGAAGAAGAAGAAGAAGTTCACCCTTGTTGGGGACAAATTTGCCAGAAAATACTGTACGTCCATTGAACTGATTGCACCGCCGTCTGCAATATATTCCGAAGCCTGTTACTAGGCTGCACAGCCATTCACTCTACTTTCAAATTTGAGCTGAACAATATTAACGTCACCAACGATGAAAAATAAGGGGAAAAAATCCCTTGAAGGGTATACGGATTAGTAAAGAAACAGAAAGAAGCAGAATCACCAAATCATCCTATCATCTTCTGTAGCTGAAAATCACAAAAACCCTTTAGCCCCAACTCAAAAATTAAAAAAGAAGCAAAAAGCAAACAACAAAGGAAGACAGGAACAAGGAAGTTGCAGATCAGAAAGGAAAACACAATATATATATATATATATATATATATATATTGAAGGGTCGTTTTAGCTTAGAGATTGATGTATGTGAACTTGTACTATAAATTTCACAAAGAAACGAAAAAAATATTAAAAAATGTAGTTAGTTAGGGTTCATCAGTGTTATATGATTAACAAGATTTGACTGGTCGGTCTACCAGCCAGTTGAATGAAAGCTGACAAGATAAGATATTACGGGGGAGGGAGGGTGTGTCCTAAATTTGTTAGGTGAGAGCCCTTGGCTTACGTGCGTGTATTCTTGGCTGTTTACATCATTGGCGGACCCAGACTAAGATCCGCTGTTTGATTTCGAGGCTTTGGAAATTGGAAAACTCCAGTCTCCACCCAATCCATAAACTATCATTAATTTTTATGGATCAGCGTAACGATATCGGTGACATTGATATTAGGTGGAAGTATAAAAATATCATTATTAATACTATATTAAAATGAGTGCATGAATATAATAACAAATAAATTATTTGCATTTCTATTATGTAATACAAATAAGTAGAGTCTAATTTCATCTTTCATCTCTTTGTAATTCTATCGTGTATTAGAAATATGTAGAGTCTAATTTCTGTATATAAATAAGAGTATATCATGTGTGATGCTGTGATTCTCTCATCTCATTTCTCTTTAATATTCTTCATTTTGTCTCTTTTAGTTTTATGATAAGCTTTATCAAATCTCCAATAAAAGAAAAGGAAAGATGTTGATGCTAATTTGAAATACCAAAATATTAAATCTGGAATTATGAAATCTAATTAAAGATTTAATTCAATTAATGGGAATTAGAAAGGAATCAAGGCTACTTTTGATTAAGGATTAAATTGAAATAATTATGCACTCCGCGGATCCAATGTATAGTTAAGGTGGGCACGTATCCATTCTGAAATTTAAATTTTCTTTAGTTAATTGTCTATTTAATTAATGATGTCCACCCTGAAACTTTATATGTACTTATCTCATATAAAATTTTTATGTTATTAACATATACGTGCACACCTCAAAAATATTTCTAGATCCGCCATTGTATATATGAACGCCAATTGCTAAAAAATGACATTGAGTGAATAAATAAATTCTATGTTAAATGGATGTTATGAAGTGATATCACGGGTTAATAAGTATGGTTTAGGTTGAATTTGAGATATGGTATGTTTGATTTAAGTTTAAGCATATTTAGTAGGCGCAAATGACTAAATGATATATTTGGTATCGGTATAGGGATGTCAATTCAACCCGAATTTGATATGTTCCGATCCGACTTGATTTGATATGGTCGGATTTCTTTTCTAAAAAAATCATGGTCGGATCGGGTCAATTTTTTAAGGGGTGAGGTCAGGTCGGTTGGAAGATGACAAAAAACTCTGACTCGACCTGAGGATAATAATGTAATTTTCTTTAAAAAAATTATTATCTTTTAGTTAAGTCCTTATTTTATAATGGGGTGGGTCGAGTCGGATCGGATGGATGATATAAAAATTTCAAGTCGGATTGGGTTCACATGGAGGGTACATATTTTCGGAACGACTCGAGTTGACCAAAATCCAACTATAACCCGACCCGTTGCCATCCCTGATTCTGTACAAGGCATAAATGATACTAGAGCAAAATTCTAATGTTATTTTAGTATCGATATGAAGTTTACTATTAATATTGTACATTGTCATATCGAATGGTATCGTACTAAAATAAGATTCGATATTTTTAATAATCAAGAAATATCAATACCAAATCGAATTATTGATACTACATAAATCATCATCGATATTTTATTTTCTAATATTCACTATTGATACTCATTTAATAATATTGGTACCTACTCCCTAATAGATGTGTAAGATATAATATGATCTTCAAATATGAATTGGTATGTCTAAAGGTCATAATTGAGTGAATTATTCACACATTTGACTTAATTGAATTCTACGGATTAATGTCTTTAAATTATTATTAATTAAATTTAGGCCCCTAAACTTCAATGCCACTATTCGTATAGTTAAATGTTTTATTTCCATTACCACTAATTAATTATTACACTATTCATATAGTTATATGTTTTATTTTAAATATTTATTTATCTATTCATTACTATTTACATTTATATAACTAAACATCAAAATCTCACACATCATATATCTTTTTTAAAAGCTACCAAAGTAAACAAATCTTTCAATGTGGGAAACGCTGAACTTCAATGCCATTATACGATAATTCACAAATAACGTGTACTCAACAAAAAACAAAAAAATTGGATAAAACTTTAAGTTGTGCATTTTTAAAAATGGTAGTTTTTTTTTAGAAAATAGGGGTAAAATATAAAAATAGTCTCCGACTGCGATATTGTGTTGAGTTTATGATTATTAAAAATTATAAAATGGTTTCTCGACTATTAAAAGTTATAAAATGGACATTTGATTATTCATATGTTCCACACTCATCTTTTCTGTTAAATTGACGATCGTATGAGTTGGACGTTAACATAATGACTGAGATAAGTTAAAATCATATTGTAATGATGTTTATTGGTACCCATTGCTTCCCAGTACTGGCTCAACGACATAATGTTTCAAGGATTAGCTCGACGATATAATGTAAATTGAGAGTTGATCCACAAATTACAGCTCAAACGATTTTATGATCATATTTTATCATATCACAGTCAACAAGTTAACATCCAACTCAGTTGACCGCCGATTTTGTAATGGAAAAGGACGAATTTAAAAAAATATGAATAGTCGGGTGACCATTTTGTAACTTTTAATAGTTGAGAGACTCACAAAACAATAACCTATAGTCGGAGGATTATTTTATAACTTTTAATAATAACGAGACTTGATAAAGAAACACTCTATTATCAGGAAACCACTCATACACTTTACCCAGAAATAATTAAATAAAAAACTAAAGACATGATCTAATTTTATTAATTTCATAACGATTAGAGCTTAAAGTACAATTAAGCCAAAACAGTTGGGAGCGATAACCCTCCCATCGTCAACATAGTTGGTCCTCGTTCACTAGTCATACATAAAAACAATTTTCCTTCTTATATTTTTTAAACAATAATTAAAAAAATAATAATTTAAATCCGATATAAATTCAGGATGCCTTAAATGTAAAAAAAAAAAAACATTAAATAAAAGCGAAATTCCTCACCAAAAACAGTCGGTGACGTGAAAACCGCGTGGCATCAAATCAATATCAAAAGTTAATTTTTTTATTTTTTATTTTCAACTTTGCATCCATGAGTGTATTTATGTTTTTATCTTTATTAAAACATGAGCTCCACTTATTTTCATTGGAAAACATTTTGAAATTCAATTTCTTTTATTAATTATATATTTATATTTTATTTCAATAATATAGTTAATTGTATCATCTGCCCCTAAATTATGACTTTCATTTAAATTATTCTTTAACTTTTAAACATTTCAATTTCATCGTCAAAAATATGGCTCTCATTATAAATTAGTCCTTAAACTTCTGAACATTCGAATTTCATCTCCAAACTATGAATCTCATTTTAAATTGATCCCTAAACTTTAGATCTTCTAATTTCATCCAAACGTGTAATCCAATATCACAAAAGGCCAATCTAGGCTCTTATAAAGAGGGTAGTTATCATCCCAGACCCATTGACCATCATAAATGTCACATAAATCTCCACCTTCATCTAGGAATCCCAGCCGTCCATTCACATTTACCGTTGCTGATGGTGCCTTATCTATTGCTTCTGAACTTTCTGACGGTGACGATGGAGTGCCACCAAGTCCAAACAAAGGAAAGCCCAGGTTGAGGACGGCCCGGTAATCCAAGTAAAAGAAGCCCCCAATGAAGAGACAAAGGACTAAAATGAAGCCAAGATCACCCAGAAAAGGGTCGAGGAGGAACTTCTTGGATTTCTTGGAGAAATCTACGTGTATCATTTTACTTTTAAGTCCTGTGAAGTTGTAATCTATACATCTTTTACCTCATAAAGTTAAAAAAAACATATGTAATATGTTATTTACAAGAACAAGCATCAAGTTTTGTGCTATAAGGACACCTTGCTTGCTGATCCCTTCATCTACAAGGAAATGAAAAGTAGATGTCAAAATCATTGATTAACAGGTTTTCTTTTATTGTTCACTGTTGTCGGTGAGATTGTTGGATTTTTTTTTGTTCGTTTTTAACTACAAGATGTTCATTGTTGTTACATTCTTTCTGTTATTATGCATAGGAAAGGTGGTTAAATTCAAGAAGAGCATCTACATTTACAATATGTAATACCAAAACGTGGCAAAAGCAACAATGCCGCTCAATATACAAAGTCTATCTAACCTGCTTTCGTTCCTCATCTTTTCCTCTTTTAACTCGCTCTGCACTTTCGAGTACAGATGACACGATTCCACAACTTCGCTGTAGTTTTTGCTCCGACGACAGCTTAGCGCTTCCTTGAGAATAAGCAAACTGTTCCGTCCGTTAACGTGTGCACCTTCCATGTTTGCCAGCTGCATGCTTAGCTCCGTCAATTTCAGAGTCATCTCCACGCCGTTGCCTTCGGTGTGTACGACTCTGAACTTCATTATAAGAATGCACTCTACTACTTGACATGGGAGGATGTCTTTGGCAGGAAGAACAGACCCGAACCTTATCACGAAATCCTCGCCTGTTGGCCAATGTCTCTGTCCGCCGAGAGGGCTCCAGCTCGCAAGATTGGCGGCTTGCTTAATTTTCCTGTTCACAACGATCCAACTAAGGCGGAGGCCGTCTCGGAGTTCCTTCCAAAGCTTTCCGTTTTTCCTTTCCTTTTCCAAGGAGGTAATCGGCGGCAGACCATCGGAAACCGAGAGGGTAACCTGGCCTTCACTATCATCGTCTCTGGCTGTATAATTAAGAAGATCGATCCGGAACGGGCAATT